TCCCTGGATGATGTCGAAAGCGTCCGCGGCTCGGGCGGGGAAGCGCCCCTTCCCACCTCCCTCATTATTCATCGTTCCTCTTTGCTTCCCTGCTCCACCGTGCGTCGTCTTACCTCGTCTTCCATCCATGTTCGAAAAGTGGAGTCTCCGGTGCCGCGTGCCCGAATCAGCGGTACATCCCCTTTTCGATATCCGAGCACAGCGGAGCAACCACACAGATGCGATTGACGACGCGAGCATTCGGGGCACACTCCACACGCGGGCGGCACGGCCGCCGAACACATTCGCATCGCTAAATTGTACATTATAGGTGCCTGCGGCAAGGTCCGCCCCTTTACCAGAGCAGCGGTATGTATGGCGACGCGTGGAGCTTTGACTGTTATGAGGTCCATGGCATGTGACACCTTTCGTGTTTTCGGACTGCTGCGCGGCATTCCTTGGGGTCGTTCGAGGCCTTTTCGGGGCATTTTCGGGGCGTTGGGGGCCGGTTTGGCGCCGCGTTTCACCGCGGCCGCCCTGGGCCAGGGGAGCGTGTATTTGCAGTTCCCTCGGGGGCGCCCTGGGCCGGGGAAGTGTGCATTCGCATCCTTCCCTAACTGGGCATGTCGGCTTCGGCTCTGGGTTGGCACAGTCGGGGCACCCTCGAGGTGGCGAGCGTTCACCTTTCCGAAATACACAGGTCAAGGTGTGATCCGTGTACACAGCTTTTGTTTTCAACTGTGTATTTTCGTGTGTGGGCCCACTGTTTTCACAGATCGTGGTGTGATCTGTGTACGCAGATCCCGTTCCCATATGTGTATTTGGAGTGTGCGCCTCGCGGGTGGTGTTGACTGGGCGGGAGCTTTCAAGTTTCTCTTTCGGCTGGTCCAGGGGGGGCGTCGTGCGCGGTCGAAATACACACTTCGTGTCTCCAGCTGTGCATTTGTCGCGCGCCGCTCGGTGGAGTGGTCACTGGGCGGGAATTTCCGCGGGTTTTCCCAGCTGGTCCAGGAGGGGGCAGTGGTCTGGGCATGCAGAGGCGCGGGGGGGTGGGGATGGTGGGCTGTGGTAAGGAAGGGGTTCGATAGGAGGGGTGGCCAAGGGGCCAGGGATGAACCGGAATGGGCGAGAGGGGAGGAAACGGGCCCAGGAGGAGCTGCATCATCGGTGTCCGCATCGCGAGGACGAGGGAGGCGGGGGGGGGGCACAAGGGGGGGTCATGATGTGCACTAGGGCGTAGAGGATGGGAGGGGGGCACGCATGTGGACGATGGGGGAACTAATCCGGCGGAGGAGGACGACGAGGAACGACATGAATTGGCACATGGGGGGTGGCAGTGTGGATGAGGAGCATGGTGAGGACCGGGGGTAATCGGAGGGGCATGAGGAGAGTGGGGCCAAAGCGAAAGGATATTGGGAGGCGGCGGGGGATGGGGCATGAGCTTGAGGCGGGCGCCAGATAACGATGAGCTTAACAATGTTCTGCGTGTCCGTGCCCCCACCAGAACACAGTGACCCGATGCAGAACGTCACGATCCAGGCCAAAGGTTCGAGTCCACGACGCCCCTTGGCGTCGCGTTGATGCCGCCCCGATTTACCAGACCGCGTATGCACACAAAAACATAATATGTGTTTGAACGTTTGTTTCATGACCCTCTCTATAGTAACAGACCCACGCTGGGAACCAAATCTAGGATCATCTTCCCCCTGTGGAGGCAAACCCCTGGGCTGGTGTGGGTGCCAATTTCCAGGCCTCCAACCCTTCACCGTCTCGCGCCTCCCGCGCGCCTAGGCCGTGTCACCGTCTTGGCCCCTGCAGTAGTCGATCTTCGGTGAGGGGGGGCCCTTTTCGCCGCTGCGTGGCGTCGGAACATTGGGTGCGTGCGGACGTGGGGAGGGGTCCCAGGACCAATTTTGACGCGCCGTTGACTCAGCTCGCCCTGCTGGCCACGGGGCCGAATGCCGAGCCCGATGCCGCAGGGCACCTACAGCCGCGCTGCACGGCACGCCTGCCCCCTCGTCGCCTCTGTCGATGTCCCTTTTCGTTCGCTTCGTCGTCTGTCTCATTGTCCGTCCTCTTCTCTTCCCCTCCTTGTCTCATTTCCCTTCCTCCTTCGCCTCCTCCTCCTCCTCCTGTTCATTCCTCCTCCGCCTCCTCCTCCTCTTCCTCCCCCTCCTATTCCCTCATCATCCTCTTCCCACCTCCTCTTCCCTCCTCCTCCTCCTCCTCCTCCTCCTCCTCCTTTTCCTCCTCGTCCTCCTGCTTCGCATCGGGATTCGCTCCCTGCCTCTCCCTCCCCCACCCCTT